TATATATATATATATAAATATATATATATATATATATAGTTTAAATCTACTCAAATCTATAAACAGTCTATTCTTATTATAAGCAAACTCTATATTTCTTAATCAAATTAAATGAAACTCTTAAATGGATTGAAGTGCACCCAAAGAACCAATACTGGCGAAAGTGAAGCCCTTCCCAGTAAACAAGGGATAATGTGTACTTTAGAATATAAATATAAAGTGATCCCATACCTCGAGCTTACTATTAGGTCAAAGACTACCCTTGGATTGCTTCTTTACATTAACATAAAGTAAATTTAAGGATAAAATATAACGGTAGAAGAAAGGGAACCCATAACTCACAGCGTCATTGTGCTGAATTATGTATGGGCGTGGTCCGTTACTAGGCCTACTCTATAATGTAGCAGTCGAAGAGAGGCGGTTAATCGCTTCACATAATTCCACAACGACGGGGGCTGAAATGAGGCCCATAGAATCTTCTGAAAGGTTCTTTAAACTGCAAATGAGGAGACTTAGTCGTACCATTCGAATCCTGGGGCGAGTGAGTTCTCGAACCAGCTGTAAAATTCAACAAATCCTGTACTAAGCAACATCGGCCTCATAAAGTAATATTGTACAAGAGACCGAATTGTTGCGACAAAGTGAAAAAAAAAAACAAAAAAAAAAAAAACCTTTTTTCATAATATTGTAAAAATGTCTTGTGTTTTTGTAATTCGACAAGTTCGTGCTATAAATTGTGGATAAATGTTGAGTGTCTATTTCTACTTAGACGTACACATACCTAGAATAACGGAAGGAAAAAGAATGTTGTGGTTACCAGAAGCACTCTCGAGCGTATATAGTTATTAAACTCCGGGTTTATGTCAGAACTTTAACATGACAAAAATGTAATTGATCTAAAAGTCATGGTATGCGATCCGGAGGTGACCACATTATGATTTCGTTTTACCACCTTTCAATTTTGAATTAGTTAAGTTCTTCTCCATACACCTATTCTGAGAATGGGAAGTTCACTTCACGTCCAGGGATGCGTACGCACTAGAGTTTGTGGGAGTGGGGTGGGGGGATGTCGCGAGTACGATACACTAATCAAATTATGGTAGCCTAATCTAATATATTTAGGTGTGCCCTGTCAATTTTATAGCTACAGTACTCAAATGATTGGAAAGCTTGTATGTTTTATTTTTAGCAGCTATAGAAGGATAAATTCGGGCTCAGAAAATCATCACGTGCACACATGTGACTGTAGAATGCGTTGGCCGTCTGAGACTGTTTCCGTGGCAACATTTATGATAAATGCTGAGTAGGAGGTACAGGCCAACAAACAGGTCGTAAAATACGCTTCGAAAATCATTACTACCTCTATGGACAAAAGATAGATTCCAAATTTAACTGGTTGTGAAGTTCCCCCGCTGAGATGTGCTGCAGAACAAGGAAGGCCAACAGACCCAACTGAAAGCTATATACTTTACAAAGAACACTATTTTTCATTCATTCACAACTTATTCGTTCTCAAAATTGCAAGAGTTACAGTATGACACACACACGGTGAGAGCACACACCCACACACACACCCATATATATATATACGGTATATATATATATATATATATATATATATATATATATATAGGCATATATATAAAAAATATATATAAATAAAATATATATACACAGTAGAAATATACAGGAGTACTTGTTCGATCATGTAACAGTTAAAATTACACCAAAAAAAAAAAACAAAAAAAAAAAAACCGTGTAAATTTTAAAACTAGCTTAACAATATCTTATGTTAATTCCTTAAAAGTATATCCTAGAATTAGTTAAACCGAGAATCAAAACTGGTAAAAATATTATTGAAATTTGGTAAAACAACAACAGTTGGTGAACAGTTAGGAAATGTATTAATTCAATTTTTTGGGAGCTATGAAGATAATGGAGAATATGACTGATGATAAGGGCGGCAGTTTAATTATGATGATGATGATGATGACGACGACGAGGATGATGATGATGATGATGATGATTATAAATATGAAGAGGAGAGGAGTGATGACGAGGAGCACAGGAGAATGTCAATGATAGTAAAATATAAAATAATGAAAATAAAATTATGATTTTGCGATGACGATGATGATTGTTTAAATATTATCGTATATCATACCATACACATGATATATTGTATTACATTACATTACCTTATATTATAATTATACATTATACTACACTATTATACTATACTATACTGTACTATATACTATACTGTACTATACTATACTATACACCATATCATATCACATATATCTTATAGGCCTCAAATATTATATTCTATTTTATATTATATCATACAGGTACCGTATATCATATTATATTATTTATAATACGTTACATAATATTAAAAGCTTAGCGATGCATATGTTCATTATATTTAGATTTAGAAAAATAATCACAATTAATCCCGAAGTAAATAGGCCTATTTTACGAGTTATAGTAAACGAAGCGTACCGGTAAATGTTATTATTGTTTTAAGATTCGTCAAAGCGTAAAAATGAAAGCAAAAATAAACCAAGAGGTAAAGATGAAATTACAAAGTATAACAATATAGCTAGAGACTGTCTCACACAGCAATTTTCTACATCAACGATTTGGTAATTACGGATATCGCAGACTAATTTCAATTAGTGTGTGGGGCGTAATATAATGCGCTATTCTATTTGTGGCACAGCTTGTTGATGGCGTATATAATACTCAACCAGACCTAACAGGCCTATACAACATAATCTCTACATCGACGGTCATCGGACCCGTGGGAATTCTATACTGGCCGATGCCCCTTGAACAACATATATAACAAGAATATATATATATATATATATATATGTATGTATATATATATATATAATATAAATCATCAAAGAAGTGACGAATGCCCATGGTTCGACGCGGTTCTTGATAGAGAATGCGTACGTGTTTGTCTTCGGCAAAAGTTTGAGTGCCGTGTGGCATGATTTGACCAATCAACAACTCCTTGATCAGTCAAGTGCCTGTCTCTTATACACATCTAGATGTGTATAAGAGACAGATATACATACACATAGTACGTATTGGCATAAACCTATAATTCACATAGGTAAGTAGGTTACACATAGTAGGTTACCTGTTGGCCTATAATTCGTTATATTGGCCTGTGTATTATTTAGGCAATACTATTGGCATTACATATGCTGATTGTCTATAGTACGAATTGGCCTACAGTTCGATTATAATATTGAGCTTAATACTATAATTATGTGTATGTTTGCCTCTTTCAATAATACTGTATACATTTTAGGCAGCAAACATATTTTTAATACAGCGCACCATCCAATTCGAGACTCCTCTAAATCCAGACCACTTTTTTGAAAGAACCAAATAACAACCGTCAATCTATTTACACAATGCTAACCCATTAAGTGGAGACCTAGCCACAAGACCACCCCACATTTTCACGTCCCAAATGTGGTCTCGAATTTGAGAGCCAACTGTATTTGTTATTTGTTCTGAATAAAAATAAATAAAAAGTTAAATGTTATATTCATTGGCCTTTTAGCATGATTCTAGTTGATATGTGAATAAGGCATCTTGGCCATTAAGCTGTACTTTGTTCAGCTCCACATAAAAACGTAGTGAATCGAATATCGACCACCTTCATCAAATAAGACAAATAAAACTTATAACTAGTACGTATTTAATTTCAAAAATAATTATAAACATAACCACTTTGTATAGCCATGTTAGTCTAAACGAAAACATCAGGTAATAAAGCGACAGCACATTGAGACTAACTTTATAAAATATATTAATTGAATTAGTAACATAATTAGAAGACAGACTGAAATATCATGAAATATAAGGCCTAATGCATAATTTAATAAGACGTTTTAAGAACATAAGGTTCACCAGTAATGGCCTACATATCAAATCATCAAATTACAATAATTATTTTAACCAATGATTCTTTGAATAGCAATAACGGACCATGAGTTACTAAAGGACAACGAACTTCACAACAGCACAATAACAGTAAATTAAATTTCAGGGTGAACAACTATATCGTATTCTCAGATAAAAACACTACTCTAGAGTTAAAGTAACTACCATGATTCTTGATAATAGACCTGTGTGTCGAAACTTACTAAAACATGAATTCGCAGACAAATAAAACACTGCTTACCTTAATCAAATTCCTCCATTTTGAAAGGCAACTGAAGTTTTGTTAAGTTTCACGTTCACTTACAGCACCCACAAGTGTTCGTTTCACCCTCCAGAAATAAATCTTTTATGGGACTGGGTTTCGTTGTCATTGACGACTTCTACCGAGTCCGCCCTCTTAGGGTCTAAATCAAACACCTTCCTCTTAATTGTATTCTTTTAAACACATAAACAATTTCGGAGCTTAACTTTTACTGTGGTTGAATATTGTAAGCTGTCAACCATCATACGCAGTTACTATGCAGAATCAAAAGCAAATATCTATAGTATCGTTTACATATCTTAAGGCGAGTGTATCCATGCTATCAAACTCAAAATTAAGTGTAAGCATTCTTTATTACAGAATAGCATATTTACATACTGTAATGGCATTTCATAGAAGTGACGAATGCCCATGGTTCGACGCGGTTCTTGATAGAGAATGCGTACGTGTTTGTCTTCGGCAAAAGTTTGAGTGCCGTGTGGCATGATTTGACCAATCAACAACTCCTTGATCAGTCAAGTGCCGAGTAGTTGTTACAAAGGGTTTGTTGTGTTTTGTTGATTTATGACTACGATATAAATCTACGCTATAATAAAGGTGATTTGAGGTGTTATTTTTTTTTTGATCCACAAAACCTCAGTCCTTATGTAAAGAATTCAAGGACCTTGGTGTGTAAATTACATGTTATAAGCATAGAAGTATCCATTAATTACTTAATGCTTCCATGCTATAAGGCGGACAAGTATTTGTTGACGCACTGTTGCCAACACCGTTTAGTTATCCAAAACAGGTCTAATGTGTACAAGCATAGAGACTATTTTCGCTATGGTATAAGCAATCCCACACTACGAGTCTCGGGTCTGGACGGACCTTTCCTAAACCACGATCCTACCCATGGTCACAGACTCGAGGGGAAAAATCGGAGGGAAATGAGTGTAATAAGTGACGGAATTACAAGCAGAAAGAGCTGGTCGCACAGAAGCCTTCTGCTGTTAAATTTGCACCAAATACCCTTCCATGTGTTCCAGGCATACGGATGTTCAGGGGCTGACTATATACACGACTTTAGGGAATCCGGGAGAATTCTACATTGTCTAAATGCTTTTCGTTTTTTAGGGAGCTTCCGAAAGATCTGATGAATGTTATTAATCTAGTCTCTTAATCAAAATAGGCTAAAGTCGTTAGTCGCTGCAGCTAACAAGGACCAACCGAAATTGTATTATAACTATAAAACCATGAACTATAAGACCATGCACGAGGGGCTATATAAAAAAAATTTCGCCACACAAGTCCACATTTTTAAGGCAGTAGAATGAAAAATTAAATTTTGACTTTTTTCTGTAATAATAATAACCATTAATGTATCAGAACCACCAACAGCGCCCTACAATACCAAATATGCGATTCAAACCGACTCTCCCCCATCCACTGACTCCGTCAGGGGTTATAGGCTAACCCCCACCCACACCCCAGTTGGTCATGTTTGTGCAACAATATGCAACCTATCCACAAAGCTAATCTTGGCTAAGGCCTTGAGAATCTCTTACTATCATTAAAAGTAAATAATACGAGCGTACATGTTCTGTGCGCAAAATGAGTTAAAGTTTATTAGATCAATTAGGGGTATTATTATTATTTATACGTCCATGGTTATACTGAGGCTTTACTGAGTAGATTAATAAGGTCTAGATTATTCTTTCTAACAAGTTCACGAATTAAATGAAACAAAAACAAACTTGTTATCCACAACCATCTTAGTTTATTGCAATCAATACATATTGATTCATTATATTCATCTAATTCTTTACAGCTTTTGGTCACTTCACCATCATACACAAACTTATCAACCAAGAATATCCAATATCAAAATTAATAATTATCATATAAACACTGAATAAATTACTTCGAATGTGCGTTACGCATAAACGTTAACAAAATAAGATTTGGTAAAAAGGGCGAAAATAATGATTATTCATATGGAACAAAGGTATTATAATAACAGGTATACAAATTAACTTTGATATAATATAGAAAACGTGATATCTTTTCAAGAATTATATTAATAACATCCATCTACTAAAAAAATAGCAGTCTAGAACAATTCAAAACTACTTTAGGAATATTTCAACATTATTGCTGTCATTCTACCATGTCGTAATGACATCTCTGGGGCACTTGGGAAGGGAAAGAAATAGGGCACGATGGAATTGGGAATGACGGAATTGGGGCACGACGGAAGTCAGACCACAGATGAAATCAACTGAAGCTTATTGTTTGTAAGATAATACACCTTAATACGTATTACTGTATTTTAATGTTTTAATAATATTATGGTTTTACTGTACAGTTTGGAACATATACAAATCTGATCGCTTAGCTTCAAAGTACATTTCTGTTACATTTATTTATATAATAGACTGAATATAACGAATTCAATTGAATTGAAGAAAATAACGTTACAAGTGCTCTGAAACTTCCTTCAATAAGCTAATTCGTGGTTGGAGCTGCGCATGATCCCATCCAAGGTCAACTGAAATAAACCTATGCTGTGAGTATGGGTCGATTGACCTTTGGTCCTTGACACGAGCATGCGCGGTTCTAACTATGAATTGGCTTATAGTATTAGGTGTAAAATGCTGAACATCACTGATTATTATTTCATTTCATTTTTGTTTATTTTAAGTCTATATAAGTTCAAAAAGTACTGAAAAGTACTGTGGTCAAATTTCATCTTTATTTATGTTACGAAAAAACGGACAATTATACAGTTTCATAGAAACTAGTCCAGGTGTAGATGCATTCTGACATAAACCTAAGCAATACAGAGGCTGCTTATAACTATTAAACAGCACACTTTTTTTGTTAATAAATTTTGCAATACTAAAACTAGGACATAAGCAAGCCTCTCCTCTGCCTGTTGTGCATGACAAAATATCCAGGAATTTGACTTTCACAACTTGGGATACCTGCATGTATACGCTATAGGTCTCCGTGGTCTAATGGGTATGATACTCGCCTTGATAGGGAGAGGTTTTTTGTTCTAATTTTTAACTGAAGAATAATAAATTAGCTAATAATAATAATAACAACAACAACAACAACAACAACAACAACAACAATAATAATAACAATAATAATAACAATAATAATAATAATAATAACAATAACAATAATAATAATAATAATAATAATAATAATAATAATAATAATAATAATAATAATGGTCAACTTATAGAGCAGCTAATGTAGAGGCCTCTTTGTGGTTAACATACACATAAAACACATAGTTAGGTCCCTGGGAAGAATTCTAAAATATGTTTATACATAAGCTTTATCCACAAGAACACAGAAAAATAATCAAAATCAGATAAAATCAATTAGAAATGCATTTTGTTCTTAGCTCATTTAGAATCAACTGAATACATAATACACTGAAAGCTAATTAATATGCATATTTCATGAGGCATCTAGTCAAAAATTACATCTTTACACAACTCCCTTTTCACATTCATTTCTTCCCATTGGAACTAGTAACACTGTCACTTCTTTGGATGATTGAAAGGAAGTCAACACATGAGGGCGCCATCATAATATGACACATTAAAGACTCATCAATATGTAATTACTTATAGTATTTCATTAGAGCTGAGTTCTCTAAGTAAGTAATGGATTTTAAATTGGAAGCAATAGTTTTGAATTTGCCTGAGGCATACAGTAGAAAATCTATAACATTCGATTTTCTAAAATTGAAGTTGAACTAGACTGTTTTACAAAATGGATTATTCTAAATAAACATAGAGTCGTCATACAAACAGTGGTTTGCCAGCAGAATGAGGGCTCAGGAAGGGGCATATACTTGTTGTAACACAAGCAAGTAACACAATCTTTCAAACTTGACCTCATCAGGAGATTTACTCCAAAACCTGGCTGTAAGCCTACAGCAGCCAGGCACATGGCTTGACTCCCTGTCAGACGTATTGGAACCCCTGTTGGGAAGTTTCTGCCACCACTGCATAAATATAGTAATGTGCTATCATAGTATTCAATTTGCTAAAATTCAGCCACAAACCCCTTTTTCAAAATGGATGATTCCAAACACAGTTTTTAATAAAAGTGTGTTTTAAAATATCTACATAAAAAAAAATATGCAAAATCTTGCTGTCATGTGATATTGATCTAGCCAATCCTGCCATTTTTTTAACCATGGCAACTGTTTATTAATGCACATAAATGGACGGCCACTTCCGTCTTGTCAGATATTATTTTTTTCTTGCTCTTGAATAGCTCTGTGGCTATTAACAATGTACTTTTACTTAATAAACATAATGACGCTTAACCAAGAGTATATATTATGTTTTGTATTATTATTATTAAAAAAAGCATCACAAAAAGCCTCCATAAATATTATAAGCACTGCAGTGCTTATTAAGTGATTTACAGTATTCCACTTAATGTTTTTAACTCTGAAATGCCATTTATTAAATGTTTTCACTAGTACTATAGATCCATTAACAAAACCTTCGTGGTTCCTATGCTTTTAGATAAATGAGTATAAAAACATATCTACACAATAATTGTTAAATTGTAAGTATCTAATTTTAAGAACTAGATCTTCTGTAAAATGCTCAAACACATTTTAATAGCAGTACTGTAATTGGTAAGATTTCTTCTATATTAAAATACCATTACCAGATTGTTAGTGGGTGGGTCTAGATATCACAACCAATTAATGATCCAGAACCTGGGATGTGTACATTTTCAATAGAAAATATATGTGGGCTCAATTATAGTGTGAACATCAAGAAATGCCCCTTTAGCATTATATTTCTCTATCTCATTTCCATATATTTAACATGGATGATTCTAATTGTTCTCAATCAACAAAATATATATTTCCACTTTTGTTTGTGCAATAAGTTTTAATTATAAATACTCAATTTCAAATTTTGGCACTCAATATGAAAATTTACCATTTTTGTTTATAAAGGCTTTCTAAAAATATGTTTTACATCCCCAAAACAGTACTTACTATATTTTTCCATAGTAGATTTGTCTATGCATTTGCATATGCATCTGCATTTGCATATATGCATGAATTTTTACATGTACATTTGCATATGAAGATTCAGTTTACCTTCTCTAATATATTTACACCTCATAACTTTCAGTTCTCATGGAATAAAGAAGAATTAATCAACAATGAAGAAAATTTTGTTCTAACCTCCTTCTTTAGTGAAATCTGGAGGGCCAGATCTATAGGTGTACTGCAGACTACAGGTGGTTGTTATTTATTACCTATACTGTGGAAGTAGCAATGTTGCTTCTGTTCTTGCTTTCAGTTCCTGTAATATAATGATAAATAATATTTTTCAGAAAATTAAACATCCATTAATCAAGTAGGAAACAAATTTTGAGAACACTGTATAGTAGTAGTATACTATAATATTTATTGTTATCAATTAAAAAAAAAACAACACACAGAATCAATTTAAAATTACAAAATCCAGAAGTCACTACAAAACCTAAAAGCAAAACATTGACAGTAAGACTAAATTGATAAGAGGATAACCCTTTAAGCTGGTAGGCTTGTTTTAGAAGGGATCCAACAAAACAAGATTGAGACATCAAGTAATTAACAATAAGACAAAAACAGATAATATATATATAACAATTTCTAAGTGTACAAATTTTAAATTTACACAATTTTAAATTAATACACTGTGTAAAATATATAATACGATACTAACACTTTTTTTATTTATGGCCACAGAGCTTGTTTACAATATATTAAAAAAACTAATACTAGTGGGACAATGATTGATGTGAAATTGCCTTAAGAACTGTTTTTTTAAATCGACCAAAGTTACTTCATCTTATCTATACTCACATCTGCTGTTTCCCCACCGATGGATATAGCTTTATCTAACCAGCCAGCTACTTTGGTGTACTCTCTCTTTTGAATGTAACACTGTTGAAAAAATTGAAAAAAAAAAAAAATCTGACAATAAAAATACTATTCACATAAGACTTTTGTTTCATTATGTACTAAATAAATGTAACTTTATTATTATCTTTATTATAAATATATCAATAAAAAATTAATATATAATCTCAGAAAATAAGCAGTAAGACTACTACAGCACACGTAAAATGAGGTATTGCCAATTTTAAGTGGAGTTAAATGGCTTCAAAAAACAATAATTAATACATAATCATAGCCTAGGCCTGGACTGGAATTATGTTCGTTTATTGTAAGAAGGCCAGCCTAGGCTACCTACAGTAGGCCTGACAAGTGTTTTTTTTTTATTCTACCAACACCTAATTTTTACTGGTTGATCAGAAAATTGACGGCTAAAACGGCTTCGGGAGAACCACAGAAAGTGATATAGAGAATCTCTGATAGAAGTAAACACACAAGTAGTTGTTAGGGGTTGCTGTGGGCAAGATACATTTGGTTGAGTAAACAAAGAGCAGAGGAAAGCTAACAGAAACCATGACAAGTTTAATCGCCAGCTATTCTTGTTGTATTATCTAAATGGTTACCACAATGGCATTTTTATTGACAAATATAAAAAGATACACAAATTGTTGTATCCATTACCGTGAGTTGTATAAAGTAATTCCCCTATATAAATATCACACAAAGTTATGAATGGTGTCTTTTGTCATAAAAGCATCAACTTAATTCATTATAGAACTCTTAAAGTCTCAGTAGGGTATAGTACTACTTTTAGCCATGAAAAAGCTTCCCGAACACAATATTCTGCATCTTCCTACAATGACAGGGCCATCTAAACCAGACACTCTCTATATATATAT